CCGTAAAATCACAACCTAAGTTGGTGGCGACCGCTTGGAGCTTGCCCCCAGAGGTCCCAAGGGCAGAGGTGAGAAGCCTGGCTAACGACACCGACGACGCGACGACGGCTCCTTTGTGAACCGCAATCCTGGCTTCTAAGTCAACCTCGATGAGTCGGGCAAGCTCCTTGGCGGCATTGACAACGCTTGAGCACCCTGACCGTGGTGCCATGACAGGCGATGGTCAGGTCACCCAAATAGAAATCGAAATAGACGGCCGAGTGCAGCGACGTGATTCGCAGGAAGGCGTCAAAACAATAAATCCTGACATAAAGTATGCAGAAAGAACAGCCTGCCACTATGCCGTTGGTGGCCGCAATAGGCTGGGCCACACAGCGCTTCCACGCTATGTGCCTCCAAGAGCCGTACCCTGCGAGATGATATGCTAGCAGAGTCTCAGGAAAACCTAAAGCAAGCGCTCGGGCCCGCAATTTGCTTCCCTTGAAGCGCTCGAAGAAAGCCTCCATATCCCAGAGAACGCCCGCGGAGGCCCCACCTCCTGAGACGGCCCCTTCGGCTCTGAGACTCTGCCGCCATACCACGTCGACTGGTGATCTGCCGGCGCCGCAGGCAAACCATGAGTGATCGCGCTTGGCAATCCAGTCCTGGGCGAAATGGAGGCGCAGCTTGCCTGTGATTCTGTACATCATGGGAAAGATGCCGATGGGCCTGTAGCCGCCTGTGACTTTGCGGAGGAGGGCCACAAGGACCCACTGGAGCTGCCCAGGTAGCTCCCCCAGCACCTCAGAGACGTAGATAAGCTTGGCGAAGGCCTCTAGGGCTTCGTCCGTTAACATACTGAGATGCCTCATATGGAACCCGTCGAGAGAGACGGCGGAGGACTTGGGGTAACTCTTGGAGAGGTCCCTGAGAGCTTCCACTGAGGGGATCCCGATGGGCTCGTGGAGGACGTTGTCCCTGTGGAGGGGCTCGGCCGAGGGCTCCCAGAATTTCCCGAACTTGGCCTGGTAGGTGTCCAGGGTACTTTGTATGGAGGCAGTGAGCTTACCCTCAATGACCACAGTGTCGGGCTCCCATTTGGTGCGCTCCTTAATGAACTTGCGTGCAGCCTTGGCCCCTTTGTCAAGGGCCTTGTCGACCCAATCCTTCCATGAGCTGGCGTTTGCTGACCGCACATCTGAAATGACCTTCTTCGCGCATGCGTCTGCTCTGGCCTTGAACGAGAGCAGCTGCGCGACTGTGGCGGCAATCTTGCTGCAACAAAAGGCTTCAGCCTCAAAGTCTGCGTGCAAGGCCGTGATAAACTGCTGGATATCTCTCAGGAGCACGCGTGTGCACTCGATCTGCATCACGTGCTGGGGCCTGGCGCGCAAAACTCGGGTAATAAGTTCGAACACTGCTGGCCTAGATGCTCTGCCTATGACCTTCCCAGCATCCCTTTCCTCCTCCACTTCCAAAAAGCAGGCGAGGCGGTGCGTGCGTGTGGCGATCCAGCTCGGCGCCGTAGGGAGGAGGCCGTACTGCTTGTGAGCTCTATCCTTCTTTGTTATGGATCTGAGTGTTGGCTGTGGGGCTCTTGCTCTCAAGCCAGTAGACTTGCGCTCACGAATCCTTGTGTTGGTCCGCTGCGCGAGCTCGAGCTCGGCGGCGTTGGCCCAGTGCGCGTAGGCCGAGGCGAAGTTGAGACGCAACGCAACCTTGTGACGATTACCTAAAGCGGAGATAAGCCTATTGATATGATCTAGAACTTTATCCCAAGAGACGGTGCTGTGATGCACTATATCCTCACCCTCCTCGTCCTGGTCGAATGAGGAGGGGAGGGGGGGTATGGTGGGGAATTGAAGGACCTTGACCTCTCCAAAATCTGGTGGCATATCCAGCATAACGGGGAAGTGCGGCCTAGCATCCCAGTCGAAATCGACGTCGATGCCCCGCACTGCGTTGGCGAGCTGCTGCTCGACAATGAACATGTCTATAACGGAACTGCTGGCTGTGCAGGTGCCCATCGTGCAAACTGGCGCGAAGAGCTGACCCTTGATATAATTGCAGAACTCCGAATGCTCAAGCTGGTCTTGAGTGACATTGAAGTCTCCAGCTATGATGCACTGCAGCCCTGAAACCTTAACCAGGTCGGCTACGGCCTCGAGGATGGCGAGATTGTCAGGCGAGAGGCCCTGACTCACGTGCCCATACAGAGATAGACAGAGGATGCCCGAGGTCTGGGGGAACTCCACAACGACTCCCAAGACGCGTTGTGGCACCAAAATACCTCCAGGGGGCCCAACGGGTTCCTCGAGAGTGTAGCACCCAAGATCATCGGCCACGAAGATGGCGACCCCAGCTGACGAGCCTATACCCCCTAAACCATTCGTCGAGGGGGAAAAGGCGGCAGTGGCAACCGACGGGGCCCAAAAACTCTTCCAGCCGTGCCTAGAGGCCCAGTCGGAGGCCTCGGCAATGCTTAAATCAGAGACTAGGCGCACCTCCTGAGCAAACAAAACTTTGGTGGGACCCCACGCAAGCTCGAGGAGGCGCTTCTTGATGGAGCCCCAGGAGGACCCATTGAAAGTCTCAAAACGGGTGCACTGAGGAGAGGAGGAAGGGAAAGAAAAGTTGGCCTTCCCAGCGCTGGCACACGCTGGTGAGACCTTTGGCTCAAATGACTGGCCGTCACGACTCTCCGTCGTAGCTGTCGTCGCTGTCGGCGCGCTGCCGTTACCCGTACGGGCGGTGGCCCCGACGGCTGCCAGTCCCCTTGCTCGATGGTGCGCCCAGCTGCCGCGCGGCCGCGGCCTGCTGGTCCTGGTATGCAGCTCTGGCCTTCTGGATGGCTTCGAGCTCCTTCTTCGGCACGTGCTTGGCAAGGGACTCCATCTCAGTTTTGAAGAACTCGGAATCGAAAATCGGTGTGTCCGTGGTCGATGGCGCTGGTGACGGCGGTGGCTCCGCCTTCTCAGGCAATGCCCCCACCATGCTGGCCATGTCATTGATGAATTGGAGAATGTCTGCATTGTCCGCGAACTTCTTCTTGGCCTCTTCGATCTTGGCCTTGGACGTCTTCGTGAACTCAGCGAGCGGTTCAGGAACCTCGTCTGGTGCCGTGTCAGCCCAGACAGACTTGGCGTCCTGCTCCTCGCGCTTCTGGTCGTCCATGGCCTGCTCGAGACGTTTCTTCTGCTCGTCCATGGACTGGATGTTGGCGTCGAGCTGCTGCTGCAGCTCCTGCTGGGTCTTCTCCAGCTCTGAGATCTGGTTCTTGATCTTCTCGACCTTCTCGGCGGCTCTCTGCACACGCGTGTGGCAGCGCGCCATGCGCTGCGCTGGCGGCAGGCTAGCAGCCTGCGCAGCGCGCGCCTCCACCAGGTCGGCCCTGGCCTGCTGCAGCTTGGCGGCCACGTCGGGCATGACGCTGGCGTCCAGCTGCTGGTAGGTGCTGACGAGAAGCTCGAGTTGCTCGATCTTCTTGTCCCTGTCGCTGGTGTCGGCCACCTCGGATGCGGGCGCGGCTGCGTCCTTGCCCTTGCCCGTGCCGCGCGAGCCCTTCCCGCGGCCAGGCGCGGCGCCTGCGGGAGGGTTGCCCGCTGCTGGCGGCGGGGGGGCGCCAGCGGCCGCTGCCAGGGTGGAGACGCGCTTGGCGATGGCGTCGAGCTGCTGCTTGGAGAGCCCAGCAGCACCACCTGCGCTGCCCGCACCCTTGCCGCCGCCTGCGTTCTTGCCAACGCCCTTGCGGCGACTGGCTCCACGCTGCGGCTGATCACCCTTGTTGTAGTACAGCCCGCAAATGTGACACCACAGCTTGCCGCTAGCCACAGGAGTCCAAGAGCGCGGGCCACACTTCTTACACTGAACCCAAGCAGCTGGCCCTGCGGCCTTCGCCATCGCTGAGGACGTGCCGTGCTGGCCAACTGCTTTTGAGCGAGAATGATGAGTACGTGAAGGCACCGTCCGGTGCACAAGCAAAGACTCACAGGCTGACCCCAGGGGCGCGGGCTGGGCCAGGCCTGGAGCGTGCGAAGGCCCTGCGCCACCTCGAGAGATGGCAACTTGAGCCAAAATGGCTACGGACCACTGCAGGATCCTGCGCGTTAGCCTGGGTCAATGTACCCCTGGCTCTGCAGGATTCTGCAAGATCCTGCGCTCTGGCTGACCCCCCCTTGCATTGACCTCCGTGTCTTGAGCCCCGATTCCATTGGGTGAGGGGCAATAGTAGGGGGGGACTGGCATCGAGGGGGAACATCGACCTGTAATCGGCGATACATCGACGATAGAGATCGGCGATAGGCCTCCGACAGCGAATCTGGGCGGAGTGGGGCTATCAGAGCCCTAACGGCGATCAATGGGCGATTGGGGGTCGATGCATCCCCCCCTATGCCCATCCCCCCGATCGTTGCCCCTGGTACGGCAGGTTTGTGTCGTGCCGACTTCGGCGTTGGTTCCTGACACCGCGGGGATCGTTCAAACTTGAACGATCGGCGGTTCCCGGATCGTTCAACATCGACCAATTCTGGGTCGCCCACGGCGTCCAACGTTGAACGCCAGCGGCGGGGTCGCCGCCGGTCGACACGACGCGAACCTACCGTACGCAGAGTGCTCCGTCGAAGCCCCCAGCGGGGGGGGCGGGGTGCACATGCGGTCCCCCAGCCCAGGTCGGCCCCACCCCTCACACGCTTCGTGGCCCCATAAGGAGATCCCCCTCCTTCGACCGACCTGCCCTGCGGCACCCACATTCTGCACATGGCGGGGCCATGTGTTTTGCTTCTGAAGGGGCCCAGGGACACACAAACAAATTGACACGAATCCCAGGATTCCCCCTATTTCGAACATTTCCCGGATGTTCGTCTTCCCCTCCACTTCCCATGTTTTCAGCATTTTCATAGGAAAGGGCGATTATTTGTATGTTTTTTCCCTCCTGTCCGAGGCGAAGCGGCGGCGGCGGCTACGACGCCTCGCCGACACCTCGCCGGAGCGGGGCGTCCAGCCGCGGCGGGGGCCGAGAGGGCCTTGTCGTCCATCCACGTCTCGCAGTCCGCCAGCACGGCCTGGCCGGCGACAAAATGGGAGAAAGGATGATGGTGATGGTGATGGTGATGGTGATGGTGATGGTGATGGTGATGGTGATGGTGATGATGATGATGATGATGATGATGATGATGATGATGATGATGATGATGATGGTGATGGTGATGGTGATGGTGATGATGATGATGATGATGATGATGATGACGATGATGATGATTATGATGATGAGGATGCTGATGATGCTGATGAAGCTGATGATGATGTTGATGATGACGACGGTGCGTATGATGCAGATGATGACGGTGGTGATGATGTTGATGATGCTGTACATGATGGTGCTGGTTATGATGCTGCTGGTGGTGATGGTGACGATGACAATGATGATGACGACGATGACAATGATGATGATTATCACGATGACGGACATGCTGATGATGATGATGATGATGATGATGGTGGTTGGTGATTGTGGTGATACTGAACGTGCTGGCACTTCTGCTGCTGGTGATGATGCTGCTGCTGATGATGATGCTACTGATAATGATTATGGTGCTGATGATGCTGACGTTGGTGCTGCTGCTGCTCATGGATGTAAGTAAGCAGTAAGCAGGGTGTTGAAGATGGGAAACACGACGCTGTGAAGAGGAAGCGGTGATCCAGGAGACTCAGAGAGGTGGGCAGACGAGCGGGGAGAGGGAGGGGGCCCAGGGGCCCTGGAGGCGGGGTGGTGAATAAGAGCCTGCCATTGCTTGGACGTCCATTCTGAAGGCGCTCACACTCACTCACTCAAGCCGTGCGTCCAACAGGGCGCGTCGCCCAGGGAGACACAAATAAAACCGCCGACCCTGTCGGCGTGTGGGGGAGAGGCTTTTCCGTTTGAATCGTCGTCGTCGTCGTGATCATCGTCGTTGTCGTTGTCGCCGTCACCGCTCCACACGTCACTGTCCGTGGGCTCTCCTCGTCAAACGTCCCAACCAAAGAGAATCGAGCAAAGTCGTGATCGAGTCGAAGGGAAGCCCAATCCTTTTGATCCCTTACCCGGCGGGGGAAGGGGGTCGCGGGGGGATAGGGAGGGGGTCGCGGGGTGAGGGTGGTAGGGGGGGGGGGTCGCGGGGGGCTAGGAAGGGTCGAGGGGGGGGGAGGGAGGGGGTCCCAAGGGTTGTGACCCCCCCCCCTACCAGTGGGAGAGCTCCATCCTTGGGAGAAGCTTTCCCCTTCGATTCCTTGCCTCCCCCTTCAGGGTCGGCGGCACCGGCCGTAAGCATTTTACAATGAACACAAGTCCCATGAATCCCAATATTTTGCAAAATCAAAATGATTTACCTCTTCCCCTGCATTTCCCATATTTCCTCATATTCCCAGGGATATCTACGTTTACGTGTGTCTGTGTCGATCTTCCCGTTCCCCTCCTGGAATTCCCCGTGCATTGCTTGATTTCGCGAGTTTTGTCAAGATGGTCCGAGGTGCTCCAAGGTGGTCCAGGTCAGATGGCGCTGGTCTCGCCGAAAGACAATGCACACGTCCGAGCGATGCCAAGAGAAGGGACGACCACCAGGGCGCGCGGACGCCACGAGGTCGCCCGCGCAAGCTGGTGGAACCGGTCTCGCCCCCACGGGGCTCTTGGCAGGCGGCGTCTCTCTCGGAGGTTGGGGCTTTCTGGCTTGTTCGTTGGTGCGGGGCCCTGCCTTCTAACCCTCGTAGCTGGAATGCTCGATCTTGTCCGCTCGAAGTGTCCGATCCTAACCGGAGGGCGAGGTATGCCCGCGAGGGGGGCCTGCAGGATGTCGGTCTTCTTGATGGCGTTCTTGAGGTTGAACGGGTTGAAGCCGTAGATCTCAGGGTGCAGCGTTCGGCAGAGGAGGCCAGGAGTCGGGGATGGACAGACCCCCCTTTAGTAAAACGTGGTTTAGTGAAAACGCCCTTGGGCCCAAACCTGGCGGGCGCAAGCCCGGAAAATAACGGCCACGGCGCCCTCTCGAAAACCGAAAACGGACAATTCACTAATCGACGTGTCACTGTTGGGGGTTCTGTCCTCCCCCGAAGGAGGAGTGCGGGGAAGAATGTGAGAAGAGGCAAAGAACCTCTCTCCTCTGGAGGTCTTCGGAGACCTCCGGAAGTCTCCTGAGGTCCGCGCGGAGGCCTCTGGATGTAGCCCCAGGGCCCCCCCCCCCAAACACGTAGCGACGGAGACATCAACCCTCGAGCCACGCGGATCGGTCTACCGTTCCACTCACCCAGATACATGATCGCAGGAGCCGCCGAGGAAAACGTTGAAAGGAAGAGATCCTGTGGCATCACAACGCCTCCTCATGAGGCGTCAGCGTAAGGCTACAATCAGAGGGCATGTATTATGTGCCAGCGTGGACCCCAAACAATCGGGTATGTCGTGCAAGCTACGTAATCCGCCGATCCGGCGTGTGAGTTTCAAGGAGTCTCAGCTACAGCCTCGAGGCTGAGCCTCAGCCTCTGGGGGGGTTGCCGGGGTGGCTCTGCCGGGGAAGGGGGGATGGGGGGGGGGGTGGGCGAGTTTCCGGCGGATGCGGGGGGGCTGCTCTTACAGAAGGCTCTAATCTCGAGGATGCGCTAAAAGGGTGGCCGCGGCCGCAAAAGTCTCTGAGGACGGTCTAAGAAAGTCCCGAGACCCCGAAAGATCGCCCGAACACGCCCAAGATGGCCCCAAGACGGCCCAAGAGCCTTCCAAGACGTCTGAAGAGGCCTCCAAGAGGCCTCCCACGAGGGCCCCCAGAGGCAAAAATCGTTGATTTCCATTGTTTTTTTTTCATGTTTTTGGGGTTGTCGCTTTTTTCGGCTTTCCGACGCTCCAAGACGGCCCAAGAGGCCCCCAAGACCGCTCGAAGACGGCCCCGGAGGCCCCCAGACAGTCCCAAGACGGCCCAAGAGGGCCCCAAGGCGGCCCAAGAGCCGCCCAAGACGGCCCAAGAGGCCCCCAAGACGGCCCCAAGAGGACCCAAAAGAGGGACGAAAAGCGAAAACAAATCTAGCCTTCCAGCCCACGAGGCTCCCAGGAAGCCCCAAGAGCCCCCAAGAGGGCCCCCCAAAGCCCCCAAGAAGCCCCCTTGACGCCCTGACAGGCTCCTGTGCGAGTGTCTGTGTGTGGTGCGTGTCTGCGAATGTCTGTGCGTGCTAGTGTCTGGCGTGCGCCTAGTGTGTCTCTGTATGTGTGTCTGCCGTATGTGCATTTGGTCGTGTGCGTGCGTGAGGTGTCCGCGTAATATGTGTATCCGAGCGACCCGGATCGGCGGCACTGGCCGAAGGCCACTACAATATTAGATACGTGGCGCAATATATGTGGTGCAAGCTATGTGGTGCAAACTGTGCTGTGCGAGCTATGTGGTGTATGCAATGCCATTCAGGTGTAACCTATGCAGTGCCCGCTATGCGGCGTAAGCTACATGGTGCGAGCTATGCAGTGCAGTGTACGAGGTTTAAGCTGCATGGCGTAAGCTGTGTGGTGAACGCTGTGAGGTGCAAGCTGTGAGGTGTGAACCATGTGGTGTCAACTGTGCGGTGCAGTGTATGTGGTGCACGCTATATGGCGCAAGCTGTGTGGTGAAAGCTGCATGCTTTGAGCTGTGAGGTGTAAATTATGCGGTGCAGGCGATGGTGTGGTATGAGCTGTGTGGTATAGGCTGTGCGGCCGCCCAGTGCACGAGGCGCCCACGAGCGCCGACGAGCGGGCACATCGTGAAACCTCGGCTGCTCCACCCAGCGAACGAGGCTCCAAGCTGGCGCATTCGAGATGAGTGCCAGCGAAAGCGAGCCTGGAAGGAGACAACTCGGGGCTCGAGCTAAACAAAGCGTTTCGTGTTGGATGTGTTTGCGTCACCCTTCGTTATGTGTCCGTCTTGCCTTTGCTACAGAACGAAATCGAAATCACAACGAACACGGTCCACGAAATCGCCAGAACACAACTTAGCTCGTGCAATGAGGCAACTGGACTGAGCTTCAAATCACCGTTGCCTCTCAACTCCTTCCTCGCACTGCAGTCGCAGTCCCGACTCGCCCGTCGATTTCAGTCAGGCTGTGCCAACCAGGAAGTGCTCGACAGACGACAAGAAAGCAAACGTGAATGCACCAAGAATGCGACGGAACGGGCGAGCGAGAGGGAGTTACACGATGCAGAGATATGAGGGAGGGATTGACGAATGTAAAAATAGCTAGACGCCCGCCTTCCTCATGTCGTTCTCCGCGGCTGTGGTCGCCTCCACCATGGCGGTGTAATTCTTCCTCAGGTCGGGGAGGACTGTCAAGACTTGTGCATCCACGACGCACAAGTGTCGCACGTGCATGTGCCTAGAGGAATCGATGCGCTCAGAAATGGTTGTGTGTGTGTTTGTGCGAAGCGCGGCTATCTTCGCGCCCTCGCGTGCCCCCTTTGACGAACAGCACCCTTCCAGCCCAGATCGCGACGCGAGAAGCGCATCATTAGCTTCACGCTGGCGCGGGTGACCCAGGAATGACGGCGCCCACAATGGGGCGAAGCGAGGGGGGGAACCTTCTAAGAAGGCGGAGGGGCCTCTTAAAGGCGGACGCCTTCCTGAAGGCCCGGAAGGCTTCTAAGAAAGCTTCTTCGAAGCCTGGCGAGCTTGTGAGACCGTCCCCCCGTGCGAAATCGTCGCAGCCTCCTGAAAACGCCGCCCCCTGCCTGCACCACCCAATTATGTTTCTGCTCGGGCCACTGGCCAGCGGGGTAAATGGCAGCGGCTTCAGCTGCTCGTGCTCCCGCTGCAAGCTGTGTTGCTTGCCCTCCACCCTCTCCCCAGCCCGCCAAGCCGTTTACCCTGCCCACAGAGAAGCCCCTGGACAGTCAGACTCGAACCACCCCTCTTGGGAGCCCCGCAGCCGCCTTAGAAGGCCGCCTCCCCGCACCATCCCCGTGTGGGCGACGCCTGCAGGGAACCGAGACACTCCGATGCCGGCGCCGCCGCCCGGAGGCCGACGCCGAGGCCGCCGACGGAGGCGGACGCGCAAGCGCGGCCGGACGTGCCGCGGGAGGTTCCCCGTTCGACTTCACGTAAGAATGCCCGCTGGTGCGCGGAACTGGGCGGGGGGGCACAACCTGAGCTCGCAAGCCGCTGCTCTCGCACCACACTCGCAGATCTGGGGACCCTGGAGGGCCTGCACCAAAGGTCACTCTGGCAGAGGGTCACTCGTGTGTTTCTGGACCCCGCGGGGTGGTCGCCTCGCGCGGCGCGGTGGCCCGCGGAGGAGAGACTCACTATCGGACGCCGAGTCCAAACGCCGCATCGCGCCCACAGGGAAGCCGCGTGGCTGAACTACAGACGCGCAGGCGGGACATGCCAGAGCGCACGGGCCCCCCTGTGGAGGCAGCCCGACCGGGGCAAAAACAGATGGGGCCAAAACATAATTATATCACCGCATTGACGGCGACACATCGGCGATATCTGGGTTTTGGTTCTTCTTCCCGGGTCCGCCCCGACCGGCGGGGGTGAATTGTGCAGGGGGGGATGGGGAAGTGGAGCAATCATCTACAAATTTGCCGGCACCGCTGCTCCCACGGACATCTCCTGGGCTGCGCTTTCTGATCCTGGTCCGAGAGGGTCCAGAAAGACCCAAACGAGGGAAAGGTATGGGCATCGTTACGTGTGTTCTCCTTTGATCAGTAGAATACGGACCATGATACTTCCAACAACGTTGAAGACTCAGGCAGCGCCAAGGGGGGTCACCACATGTGGGGTCGCAATCTCCTCGAGGAAACGTGCCCATGGACCCCCCCGAACTGACCCCCTGGACCATCCCGAGCCACCCGGGATTCATAATCACGTCCGAGTGCATCCAACACTTCTGCGGTTCTCGACCCACCCTCCTCTCCGATCCTCGATTCCCCGGTGGTGGTGACCCACTCTGGCCATGCCCGACCAAACGCGAAGAAAACCTTCCCTGGATGAAGATCCGGCTCCTGGGGGGAACCCGGCGTCTCATTAGGGTTCAGGACCCTCTGGCCCCAGGGGACAGTCCCCGCCTGACCCCTCACTTGCGCGGGAGTTTGTTTTTTATTGGGGGGGGTAACGCCCGTTACGGAGGGGTGGGGTCCGGCCCCAAGTTGGGGGTAACGGTAACGCGCGGCGGGGCCCTCTGGTACTTATTACCAGCACAACTGTCGGCACGGTAGGCTTCGTCGTCGTCGTCGTCGCCGCTGTCGTCGTCGTCGAAGCCGACCATGCCTGCGCACACTACACAGGCTCTGTACACCGCGATGCCTTTGTACACCACAACTGCGGCAGAAATGGTATGTGTGTGCACCACGGCGACTGAGCACATCATGACAGGCGGGTGCACCACAGCGCCCTTGTACATCTCACTGTTGGTGCACACCACGGCGCCCGCGTGCACCACAGCTGCTGTTTCAACGCCCGGTGTTTGCACCAGAATGCCAGCGCACACCACAAAGCTTGTGTACACCTGTAAGGTACCGGCGGAGCGAAAGTCCAGAAGATCGCTCGGGGCCCAACCGTGGCCTTTTCATTATGTGAGCTGCTTGTGGATCTTAATTTTTCTGGTTCAAAAAGCGCTCGGACCTGTTGAGCCCACAGCGCCTGTGCACTCCATTGCGACTACGTACATCATGGGAGTGTGAATCGTGGCGCCTGTGTATACCATGTGGCATGTGTGCACCACAAAGTTTGTGTACGTTTTTTTTTTGCGCGGAGTGTTAACCACGCGCCGTGGGGGCGCGCGGGGCGGCGGCAGCCTAGGGAATACAGGAAGCAAGAGCTCCCTGCACAGGCACACGGCCTGTCAGACATGGGTCGACGGCTGGAGCGTGCACGCGGGTGCGTCGTCGTCGTCGCCGTCGGTTGCGACGGCGACCCGGGGGGCGACGGCGGCGGCGGCGGCGACACGGGCGGCGGCGACGGCGACCACGACGACGACGACGACGACGACGGCGGCGGCGACGGCGACGACGCCGACGGCGGCAAGCGGCGGCGGCGGTGGTGAAGGTGACCGCCGCCGCCGTCACCGCCGTCGTCGTCGCCGCCGATGCCGCCGTCGCCGTCGCCGCCGCCGTGTCCGCAGCCAGTTGCCGAAAGCTTCAGCAGCGTTTGGGGCCCACTTGCTGGATACACATGCGGGGGGCTGGCGTGACCAGCCGCGCGAGGTAGGAGGGCCGAGCGCTGGAAGGACATGCGGCCACATCCGCGTGCAGGTCTCGCCCAGTCCAGCCTCTTGCACCAGCACAGGGAGCATGGAGGGAGGACGGTGGTAGTAGTCATAATGATATTGTGAGAGTGCACCGGCTGGTTGCGCCATGGTTTGCCCGATGCGTTACACCACACGTTGTGCTTGCGTACAATTACCTGCGCCATAGGTTGAGCCGTAAGCTGCGCCATAGGATGCGCCCCCAGGGCATGCCGTAGCTTGCGCCATAGGTTGCGCACCCAGGGCGTGCCATAGGTTGCATCGATGGTCGCGCCACAGGTTGCGCCACAGGGTGCGCCAAAGTGTCGGCGCCGAGGTTCGAACCTCGAACCTCGAACCTCGAACCTGAGCACACATGTGAGCGTCACAGCATGCCTGCCTGGGGGTCCGCACCCCCGTCCCCGTACGCTCGTTACCGTTACGGGGGGGAACCCCCCCCCCGTAACGGGCGTTACGGGTCCGAGCAGTAAAAAAACAAGCTCCGGCGATTTTCCGCGCAGGTCCCGCGCGACAGCGGCGCTTTCCTGCCGCAGTCCTGCCACCTTCCTGGGTGCATTTTCGCGAAGTGCTAGAGGCGTTCCTTGCCGAAGGTGTCTCCAACCTTTCGCGCCACTTTGGAGGCCCTGGGCAACTCTGGTGCTCGTGATGGGTACCCAGGAGGTCACATGGGCATCCCGTGAGATCCTGGGGACACCGTGGGCCAAGGAATCACCTTTGTTGGGGTCCCGAAGCGGCGCGGTGACAGACCATGCGGTGACCTCGAAATCCCGGAGGGCCTCACCGCACGGTCCGTCACCGCACGGATTTGGGAAGCGAGCTTGGAGGCCCCTGTCGCCCCGAACATCATCGGAGGACGAGTCCCCAAACCGCGCGGTCACCCCGAACTCCCACTGGCGCTCGAAGCGAAAACGAGGCAACGACCGTAGCCTTTTGATGGCGGTTGCCATGCGCTCCAAACGCCTTCGCACTGACAACTAAATAACTGGACGCCCGCGGTAAACCGTCAACCTGTACCGCCAGGAACCTCGTAGAGCTCCCAGCCACTTGCTACGGCTGTCGTCAAAATTACGCCGACGACAATGACGGCGTCTTCGCGTCGGTGATGAAGGTTTTGGGAAGACTTCGACATGCGCGCGCGGCCGACGCGCGAGAGAAGCCCGCGTGGAACCATTTGACGCGGGACGTGCCCACCCAGCACGCGGGAAAGGGCTTTCAAATGAGTTCGGCAGGCGGCGCGAGCGGACCGTTGAGCAGAATGTGATGACAATGTTGAGATACCCATGGTTGTCTTCAGAATCCGCAGGAGCACGCGCGCAGCCCAACTTCTCAAGACTAATGCTGCAAGAACTCTGTGCTTGTATTTGTTTTCGGGACGCTCGGTTTTGGAATGCTTACGACCTCTTTGGTTTTTTCAAGGTTTCGGCTTGCGCGCGCAGCGACGCGCGCGCGGGCATTTCGTCAAATTGTTGTTGTTGTTGTTGCTGTTGTTGTTGTTGCTGCTGTCTGTTTTGTGTTAAAGATCTTGCGACAACACGCGCGCAAGGGCGCTCGAACGATTTCGACACGCCCGCGCGAAGCCCGTGTGGTAGCATGCTCTGGAAATGCTGGAACCAACAACATTGTTTTCTCGAAAGTTCGCAAGAACGCGCGCAACTTCTCGTTTTGAAAATCAGCGTTGCGAAAACATGTCTTTTATACGATTTGCTTGGGCACTAGATTTTGAAACCCCTACGGAACCGACAGTTTTTGAAGGAGTTCGGCATGCGCGCGCGACGACGCGCGCGTGTACACTTTGTCCCGCCTTTGATGATGTTTGATACAAGTGCGCACGCAGATTTGTTCCCAAATATCCTGTGGTGGTGGGTCCTCGTTTTGAAAAGACAACGCCCAGCGTCTCCTCTCCGCCTCCTCTTCTCCCTCCTCCCCCTCCTCCCTCCGACAATCCCTGCCTCCCCTCTCTGTGTGCCGTCCTCACCATGATTATCGTGATCTTCACTGTGATCACCATCGCCATGACCGGCGTCATTAACATCGCCATCGTCAGCGTCGTGACTTTGTTCGCCGCA